ACAACGGCAGGGCTAGTCAGTGGCACTTGGCCATGCGGACGTTCCCCGGCGAGAAGAGGCCTTTCTCTTTCCACCCAGCGCCCCGATATAGAAATGATCTTTGAGGGTTGCATCTCGAAGCATACGGATACTGTAGCCAAACCCGTTTTCCAACCTCCAGTGTCCAAAGCCCCCCAATCCACAAATACCACATCCGGCGAGTCGCATAACGACAGGCCAACCAGCCAGGGAACCGGGACTGGCACCGAGTTGCCAGAGGCATGGGGTGCCACTAATTCCGCACTATGTTTTCTCTCCATGTTCTCACACGCCCAAATCCCTACCCATGCTAACTGTTGTGCCTGAGAGGATGAGGCTTGAGCGAGCTCATCCGCATCGGAGGCTTAAGGCGAAACAAATGTTCGCCTCCCGTCTCACGGGCTTGTGTCTGCCGTGTGCACCGAGGAGGTTCTTTACCATTCCCACCTTCCAAGAGAAAAACAGACTATGATTGTACGCGGATAACGGAGTAGGGGCGGCACGGGGATAGGACAGAGTCAGCAGGACGCATTGCGGAAGAAGGAAGGGAACGGGGTGACGGGCGACGCGAGGATGGACGGACGGACGGACGGAGAATGGCGAGGCAGACACTACTACGTAGGTGTTGGGCGACTCTGAGTCTGAGTCTGAGTCTGCACCCCTCCCCCCCCTACAACCGAGGGAGATTGAAGCCGCGCTGGACAAGCGGAGGGGCGGAAATCATCATGGTTAGGCGAAGAAGCCAAGCAGGGTGCTCTCGCAACGGTCGGTACGAAACGGTAATCAGGCACCTCTCTCCAGAACCTTCCCGCCCTCGCCCAGCCCTTCCCTTCCCTTCCCTTCCCCACCACCAGGGAGATGAGAAATAGATGGATCGCGGGGGCTTGGCATCAAGCAGAAGGAAAGGAAGCAGCATGAGAAGCTCTAGAAGGAAAAGCAAAGCCTCATCATTAAAGGGATCCTGGGGTCCTCCTCGCCATTGCCCCTCTCCCCGGTCATGAGTGGGTCCTCGTCGTGTTTTCGGCATTTCCTCAACTCGGCGTAAGCATCCACATGGAGAGAGAGAGGCTGGGGGCAAGCATTCAGGACGTGTAACTTGTGAGTTGAACGTCGTGTTCCGACGACCGACGAGCGTCTTGAAATATTTTGGCGTGGCAGGCTGATGTTCTGCCCACAACCCACCCCACCGGCCCCGACTCATCTCTGTCTGTTATCCATTTCCCCTCCTGACTGCCCCTCTTCCTGCTTCAATCTCAACCTGGAATCAGAGTTTGAACTCTGAAGATGAGATGGAAAATTTTGCTTGTCACGAAGCCTCCATGGAGGTGAGATCATGCCTGTTGGTTATCAGGCGACGAAATGGGATCTGCGATAGACCGAGTATGGACGACGGCAGCGAAATAAGACCGCATAATGAGCTAGCACAGACGTGAGGGGGTGTGAACTCTGTTGGTCCGAACATGGGATGATCCTGTGATCTGAGCTGCTGCATGACGTGGACGACGAGCAGCCTTTTTTATTTTATTTTTTTAAACTACCTCTTGATTTTTTTTTTCTGCTCCTCTTGGGTGTAGGGAACATACGTGCTCGATCCGGACAAAAGGTGTGATGACATGGGACGGAAACCATCTACTCATCACTTGTTTCCTAGTCCGATCCAACATTCTGCTGATGCGAACTAGTGCGCGTTTGGGTTTGTGACCATCAGACTGACCCAATATCGAAACGAATGGAGCTCGCCTCCCTATTGTGGGATGATGCCTCTGTTTAGAATGAGCGTTTCATGGGATTTGTATTTATTTTTTCTGGAACTAGACGGAGGGGCGAGCACAACGAATCAGGCAAGAGGCAGAGCGGAACGGAAATAGGCAAGGGAAAGAGAAAAAAAAAAAAAAGGAAGAAAAAATTTCGTGTCGAGTTTCATCAAAGTACATGCCCAGTCACAAAACGGCGAGGCAGATTTTCTCCCTTGGTTCGTGAAAAATATCATCCCTCTCCTGTACCTGCCTGCGAGAGAAAGAGAGAGGGAGTGAGGAAGAGGCCCCAGCAGTAGAGGAAGAAGATAGCTCCGGATAGAAACACAGAAGGAAACGAAGCTCCACATCGGCCCTTCTCTCACATTGCGGCGGCTTCGTTGCCGGACTCCGGTTGACGAGTACGTTGGCCCCAAGTTGCTCGGCGATGGATTCAGGTGCAATCTCGTTTTTCTCTCTCTAGCTCTCTTTCTCTCTGTCTCTCTCTCCAATCTCTATCTATCTCTTCCCTTTCCCTCTTTGTGTTGCATGTAATCACATCCCCTTGGTGGTCATCTTGTTTTCTCTTCTCTGAGCTCTTCTACAGTGAGAATGGGTGACGTGAAGTCATGGGGGAGGCCGGGAGGGAGGGGGCCCTTCCTACAAATGAGGCCATTTTGCGAGTCGTTCTTGTTAAAGCTGATGACGATGGACATTTTTCTTCATCTATGATAAACCCTCTTTATTTATTTCCTTCCCTACGGAGAGTATTGTGGCCCCCATCCATCAGCTTCCCACGCCCACGTCCACGCCCACGTCCATGCCCACCCCCCCATCCACACACAAGGCTAATCTGGAGCTCCGAGGGACTGAACCCCAGTGATTCAATTTCGACATCCTTGTCCAGCTGATAAGATGTGGCGATGCGTTATAGGCCTGTTCAGGGTTCTTCTTTTCTGAATGAAGCTTGGATCGCAGAGCCCCCGGACGAAAAGAGAGAGAGAGAGAAAGGAGCCGTAGTAGATGCAAAATCCTCACGAGATCGCCAAATGGGGACTACTACGGGTTCCCAGCAAGCATAGAAACCTGCCGGTCCACCCCTTCGCGTTCTTCCTTCCATTTGAAATTCCAAACGGCCCCCCGCCCCAAACGGTGAATAGACATTCCCCCTTGCCCCGGCTTTCCCGGCAAGGTAACGGGTATGAATGAGATGAACTGTATCGTCCTCACCGCTGGCCGTCGGCCGTGTAAGTAAGATGAAGACGACGATGACGGGCGGTGGGAGTTGCGGACAAGGCGTGAACGCGTAGACCCTGTCCTTCTTCTTCCTTCTCCTCCTCCTCCTCTTCCTCCTCCTTCCTTACGTCCCTTCTCCCTCCCCAGTCCTTGCCCAAGGGCAGTTGCTGCTAGATGAACAATACGAGGGAAATCTGAATCCTCAGAACCGCAAAAGGGGGGAAGAACACATAGAGTCATTGGTAAGGGGGTGGGGATGCTATCCCCCAACCTTCCTTCCACCTCCTCCGTTTGACTTATTTGAGAAGCCCGCTGAAAATGTTTTTTTTTTGTGATTCACCACCCGCGCGATCACCCGTTCAGCAGTCGGATGCGAGCGAGCGAGGCGAGGCGAGGGAACGAGGCGAGACGAGCAACCTGGCTTCTAGCTTCTTCCCCTCCTTTTCCCATCCCCAAGACCCTTGGCTTGTCTTTTGATGGCCAAGTGAAATGCTCCGTGTCTCATTCTGTGATATCCAGCCAGGCGCGATGGAGGGATCCGAAACCTCGCAGTCACAGGGCCCGTCGTAAACTTCCGAGGAGAAGACCAGTTTGGGGCCCCGAAAGGGGCAAGGAACTCGCGCGCAAGAGAGACAGAAATAGAAGGAGAGCGTGATAATGAGTCTGTGAGAAAGAGAGAGAGAGAGAGACAGAGAGGGGAGAAAGAGAGGAAAAAGAAAGAATCAAGAGAGACGAACCGCAATGTCTTAGACGCTAAATCAAATCAAAAAAAAAGGATATTCTTCTTTCCCATGTAGGATCGGGGATCGTGGGTGAGACACAGTTGGGGGCTGGGCGCCCCGATTAGGGATGAGAGAGAGAGAGAGAGAGTGTTGGATGGGATTTGCATTTCTGGATCTTGTCGTCCTCTTCCTCCTTTCCAATGTCCCCGATATCAGACATGCCAAAGACCGTGTGTGTGTGGCTGGTGTAGTGCAAAAGGGCGGCCGCGCGAGCGCAATCTGCAGGTTCCAAAAAAAAAGGGGGCGGAAGGGGGTGTATTGTGGTGGTGGTGGTGGTTCGTTTGTTGTTGGTGAATGGGCGGGTACGCGGGGAGAGTGAGGGACCAAACAGACAATCGGCAGAGGATTTGCAATTCTAGCTCGTCTAGGCCCATCTGTACATTCCCGTTGTCTCAAACCATCTCATGCACGTCAACGGCGCCTCTTGCAACAGGCTGGGCTGACTGTAACAGACGCAGACAAGAGAGACAATACGTACATGCAAAGATACCAGACAGAGGGAGCAGAGGGAGGGTGAGAGACGGAGAGAGAGAGAGACTGGGGTGGACGGCTCCCCGTCATCGGCTTACCTCTCTGCACCGTACGTACGGGCATGCTGGACATAAGCTGCTTCACCTTCAGACTCTTGGCAAGACAGGACGAGGCAACCGCTCAACTGCAAGATGCGGAAGATGGCCCGACGATCATTTGCAATGAAGTAAGATTCCTTTTGCCTCCTAAACTCCCTTAACCGTCGACGGGCAGGCTACGTGTCCTGGCGATGCTATGGCCCGGAACTCGGATACTTGGAAGATGCCGTTGAACTCCCTTGGTTCCCCTTCCGGTAATATCAGACACGATTCCCTCAACTGTTAAACAAATCAATGGCGGAGACGCCTCGCCTCCCGCGTGGACAGAGACCAATGAGTCTCCTTGAGTCTCTTTTCCCTCCCTTCTTTTGACCCTATGCTGTGCACCTATTAGGCCATGTTGAGGTGAGACAACACAGGAGATAATCGGGACCGAGTTGAAGTAAATCCAGCTTCCACTCTGACCACCCGCGTTTTCCATGTCTGCTGGAATCACGCCCTTCACGTAAGACTCTCCCCCTTCTCCACCTCGGCCACATTTGCCTAGGCTGGCATGTACCGAATGTCTTTTCTAATTAGACGGCATCGTTCACCCGTTTCGACACCCCTGCCTAAACGTCCAGTCCCGTGGATCGAAAGGGAAGGAGGCGGCCTCTGTCGCCTTAGCTTGGGAAGATCTTGTCTCTGCTGCTGGACCCCTGCGAACTCATACTACTGCGGTTTGTGTGGTATGGTAAATTCTCCGGCTTGAGATTTTCATCCGTCGACGAGGCTATACCCTGGCGCTGCGGCGCTTTTTTGGTGAGCACTGCCCTAGGTTTCTCGGCCGGTAGCGACTCGCTGCTGGTACGTGTCTTGGTCAGCTTGCGAGACGCACGTTTCTGCGATGGCGCTTGCGACTGCGTCTCGGCAATGGAACCCAGGTCCGTAGTGGACCTGAAGTCGCTCGATACGCGGCTGGGTGTCGAGCTACTGTCCGATGGTCGGCTATACGCCGGGTTATCTCTGATTGGGAGATGGAAGCTGGCTGCGGCTCCGTTGAGGTCGGTGGTTATGTACGACGGCGAAGTGGAAGAAGAGCGGATGGCATCAGGAGATGAGGCGGCCTGGGTGGCTGTTAGCGTTGAAGCCTCGAAAATCCGAACAGAGACTCGCTTACAGATGCTTGAGGGCTGACATAGGTGTCCAGCTTCTTCTTCAACACCTCCGAGCGCACCGGCTTCGCAAGATAGTCGTTCATGCCGGCCGCCAAACACTTCTCTCGATCCCCTTGAATGGCCGAAGCCGTCATGGCAATAACGAGGACTTTCCGTACAACATCTATAGAATCCTTCCGAATCATCTTGGTTGCCTCGTAGCCGTCTAGCACGGGCATCTGGACGTCCATGAGGACCACATGATAAGGTCGACCTTCTCTAGCCTTCTGCCGCAAGCCCTCGACTGCCTTCAACCCGTTCTCGTAGGCATCCACGGTGGTATAGCCCAGTCGCTGCGCATATTGGATGGCAATTTTCTGGTTGATGGGGTTGTCCTCTGCGACGCAAATCCTAATTTGATCCTTGGGAATAGCGGTGAGGTCCAAGAACGGATTGGGTGACTCGCTGCGCTCGAGGAATGCAGAGCGCTCGACGGCGGGAGGAGATTTCATCTGTTGCGCGTCTCCGGCAGACACGTCGGACTTGGCCTTGTCGAAAGTTACCTTGAACCATGCCGTTGTTCCTACGCCTTCTTGGCTGTCGAGTTGGATCTTGCCTTTCATCATAGTTTCGATCAAAGACTTGCAGATACTCAGACCGAGGCCGCTACCGCCGTACTTGCGCGCTGTGCTGGTGTCTGCCTGGCTAAACGGTTGGAAAAGTTTGACCAATTGCTGCTGGGGAATACCAATCCCAGTGTCCTGAACCCTGAAGAGCAATGTTGCTTTGTCGTTGGTCTCCGAGTCCACCCGAGCACCAATTGTGATTGAACCGTCCTCGGTAAATTTCAAACTGTTGCTGATGAGGTTGCCCAGTACTTGATGGAGTCTGATGGGGTCTCCAAATATGAGCAGCGATGGCAGGTCGATGTCCTGTATAATCTTCACGTTCTTCTGTTTTGTCTTTTGCCGGTTACTGTAGGACACCGCGCGAACAACCTCTCGGACCATTTCTTCAGGATTAAAGGCGATCACGTAGAGCTTCATTTTATCGGCTTCCATTCTGGAGAAGTCGAGTATGTCGTTGATGACTGTCAACAACAGCTCTGCCGATACCTTGATGTTATCCGCCATCTCTTGCTGATCCTTGTCCAACTCGGTGTCTTTGAGCAACTCTGAGTTGCCAATAACACCGTTGAGCGGTGTCCGCAGTTCATGTGAAACGTTGGCAAGAAATATGGACTTGGCCTTGGCGGCTTCTTCGGCGAGCTTGACGTTACGCTTGGCTTCGGCTTCAGCGTGCTTCGCTTTGGTCTCTGCTTCCAGCGCCTTAGCAAGGGCGCGCTTTTGCAGCGCAACCATGGAGACATTCTCTGCCGAAACTTTCTCTACAGCCTTCATAGCCAGGGCATTGGAGTAACTGATACCGATCTGGTTGACCAGAAGTTGGAGGACGGAAACGTTACGATCGGTGAATGAGCCTGGCTCGCCTTCCAAATAGAGCACTCCGAGAAGCGATTTAGAGCCGTGGCAGATGGGGATCGCGATGATGGCCTTGCTGAGGACGTTCCGCTGCAGCCAAGCCTCGCTCACATTACCAAAGCGCTCGTCACTGATGATGTCGGGAATGAAGACAGCCTCTCGGAAACGTGTGCAGTACAGAATAACGTTTTCGGCGACGAGGGAGGTGCCAGCGAGTGGAAGACCAGGGATATGGGCCGACGCTCCCCGTTCCGGATCGCCGCTGGCCGCGAGAGACCACCCAGACTCGTCCGAATCCTGCACCACAATGGCGGCTAGCGTAGCCGAGCCGCCGCAAGTCTGCAGAATGACATCGCACATGGTCTTGAGGAGCTCGTCGACCCGCAGAACACCGGAGATGACCTGGGATGAGAGCAGGATCGCGTGCAAATCGATCATATCGAGTGCTGGCAGACCTGCCCCAGGTTCGTTGTGCTCATGCATCGAGCCACGCCACGCACCAATCCGCTCGCCCTTGATATCGGCGATGGCTGTGTGATTGGGCTGCTGCATCCCTTCTGGTCCTTCTTCACCATCAACTGCGCGGTAGTCCACCGTGCCACTGTCTCCGGCAAAGTCGGTCTGAACCGCAGCGTCCATCGCTCTGGGGTTTCTCGTCGGGCTATGAAGGAGAACGGCGTGCTCTTCCTCAAGACGCTCAGCCACGGCCACGGCGCCGAACTGACGGTAGAACGAAATGGCATCCCTGAAAGCAGAGCGAGCTAGCCGTCGAGCCTTGCGCCTGACGAGCGCGCCGGCCATCAACGTGTTGCCTAGCGCCGCTTCAAAAATGTAATTATGCTCCTCGGCGTTATCCAGAGCCTCCTCGTAGAGCCTGACCGCGCCTCCATAATCGCCGGTCAATTCTGCGATCTGGGCCTCCAGGATCCTGGACCACGAAAGGTAGTTCACTTCGGTATAGACCTCCCACTCCTTGATCCGCTTGGTCAGATCGCGAAGGTTGTGGAGGATACTTTCGGTTTCGCCGGCCAGACTGCTAGGATCTAGACGGGGGTCATTGAGCCTCCGAAGCATGCTCCCTGCGAGAGCAAGACCGTAGAAGAACATGACCAACCTGCTGTTCCGAGCTGACCATAGATTCTGGATGGACTCGTAGCACGCTTCACCGATCTCAATGGCGCGATCGTAGTGACCGTAAATGAAGAGGGGGACTATCTCGATGCTCTCATACCAAAGAACCGACCTGTTGTCGTTTTGTGTGTTGGCTCTCAGCCATGACTTGTAGTTGGCCGAATTATGATGATCGTCAGTCATGACCTCGAGGGGATCGGTGGTCCGCGTTTTGCCCTGCAAGGCTCGACAAGCCTGCCGAACGGAGATGAGGAGGGTGCCGCCCCGCGTGTCCTGATGCCAGTTGGGGATTTCTTCACAGCCGTACTGGCAGAAAGCCTCCAGGTCGGCGCAGTTCTCGCTTGCAAAGAACTTGAGCTGTGCCGCAAGTCCAAAGCTCAGGATCGAGGAAATGCGATCCCCTGCTGCCGCTGCAAAATCGACCGAGCCCTCCAAGTGCGTCAACGCCACAGCTATCGGGATTTGAACATGCCCGATGAAGTTGGCGTACAGCATGTAGCCTCTAGCCATTGAGAAGGGATCGCGATATCGGCCGAGCAGCTCGATGCAGACGTTGCCCACCTCAACTGCGAAGCTCACCATGTTGAATCTGGCCAGGGCGATGAGACCAAGATGCAGAAAGGCCATTCCCGATTGAGGGAAGGCGCCGTGAGTGAGGTGTAGATCCAACATGACCAGGGACAGGTGGTAAAATCGCAAATAGTCGCTCCACCATGCAGCGCTGACAGTCTCTGCTAGCACGGCACCAATAGACGGCAAACTGGGGTCTGATGACGGTGGCGGATTCATGAGCTCGTTCTTGTCCATCGTCTGTATCCTCACAGACATCTTCTCGAACTGATCGTCGCATTTCTCAAAGGTCGGTTCGTCATCGAATTGCACGTCAAGTGTCTGCAGACATTCTTTCAGCGCAGCCAGCGCGGCCCTGGCATTGCCACTTTGCGCCAGTGTTCTGGACTGGAGAACATAGGCCGGCGCCTTGTCGAGAGGGCTTCGTGCACACTGGAAAATTGTCTCTAGGAGGGAGTTGGCTGCAACATGGCTGCCCATGTAGAGGTAGCATTCCGCAGCTCGTAAATGCAGCTGTATCGTCTCGTCATACGAGACATCCTCGAGGTCGTCGTTCCATGGATCCGGCTGGAGGAGGGCGACCGCTGTACTGTACAGTTTTGAGCCGGTCGGACGGGCACAATTCTCCACGGCCGACTGTGCGCATTCGGATAGTAACTTGCGGTATGACTGACGTTTAGGAACGCGCTTCTTGATAATATCGACAGACTCGCAGATGTGCGCGGCGGTGTTGTCTTTTGCTCTGGGATCAACAGAGTAATACTTCAAAAGCGTCTGCGCAATCACGAAGTGCATCTTCCGCGCATTGCATTCCTTCAGTGCTGCCGACGCCTGGATGAATCGGTCGTGGGCGAAGCGAAACCTGTCGTCAGTCTCGCTTGGAACGATGATGTAGGCCTGGACCGCGGCTTGCAGTCCATTGATTGCTTCCTGCTGAGAGTACGTCGCGTGGTATTGTTCGTTGCCCGGGCCTTGACACGATGCCTCGTCGTTGTCGTGATACTGAAACTCGCCACTGAGAAGTCGGCAAATGAGCTCAAATGAGAACGAAGACCCGAGGAGTGCCGCCCATGCCAGTATCGCTCTAGAGGCCGGGGGCAACTCGTTCAACCTCCGAGTGATGAAACCAGTATCGAGTATATCATAGTCGCTCGCGCCTTTGAAGTGCTCGAAGAGTCTATCAAGATCGAAATGCCAGTTGCTATCTCTGTAGTCGTACCAGATGCACTTCTTCCGGTAACACGCGCTCAGCATTTCCCGCATGTAGAACGGGTTGCCTGCTGTTTTGGACTGTATGACCAGAGCCAATGGGAGAACCTCCTCCTTTGGTCTGCACAGCGTCGTCGCGACGTATTGGATTATGTCGTCCTCGCACAGGGGTGTGAGTTTGATTCGGGTTACCACGGGACCTCCTGATCGTGGGAACTCTGCTTCGTGGTCAGCACACAGTGGCAGTGTTCGCAGGTGTGGGAAACTTGCCTTCAGATTCAGGGGGGTGAATGATAGATTGGACTTGTTCCGGTGATAGCTCCTCTGGCCGGTATGTTATGATGACGACCATTTTCATGCGCGCCCCAATGATCTGGGTAATCAACTCCATGGATTCATCATCTGCAAAGTGGAGATCATCCAGCACAAAGCAAATGAACTTGTGGGATGTGAACATGCGAAGCACGTCAAGAAACGTGTTCATCAACCGCATGGTTTTCGTTGCTCCGCCAGCTCGCAAGAAGTCCTGGGACGCCTGTGAAGATATGACAGTAGGCTTGTTCAAGCGGCCAGGTGAGCTTCCTGGCGATGAGCCGCGCCTCTTGAGCCCTGCTCTGATAGAGCGGGTCTGAGTTATGCCCTGGGTGATGGACACTGATCGAGGAACCGAGCTGTCCAGGGCGCCAATGAGAAAATCCGGCAACCCAAGAACCTTGTGCAGTGTCGGCCACACTGGCCGAACGTACTGCTTCAACGCCTGATGGAACGGTGTATCCGTATTCCGCTCACCGAATACCTGTTTGAACAGTGACGACAGCAGCTTAAGCAGCGGTCCGAAAGCAGTTCGGCGGGCCGTATCGAATTTTGCCGTGGCACAATATCCTCTCCTCCTGGCTTCCGCAAGGACCGACTGGTAAAGGCAGCTCTTGCCGAGGCCGCCGGCTCCTTCGACGAGGACGATCTCGCAGTGCCCTCGCCTTCGGAATTTGGCTGATCCGAGTTGACGTGACAAACTCGAGGACGATGATTCTACTGCACTGAGCCGGTTGCTGTCCGTTGGTGTACCGACACCGTCGATGAGACTCCGAGTTTCGATCGAGACCGACTGGTGTCTTTCCCATTGCCTCTCCCACGGCCTGGTCATCCTCGCAAACGGCCCAGAATTGGACGAGGCGATCGTGTCACCGGAGATTGTCTGGGTATCGGATAGAACGGATGGAACAAAACTAGCCTTTGACTGCCTAGGATCAGAGGACGTAGTATGTGTGAAGGAGCCGCTGCGCCGTGTTGTGCCTTCCGCCGAGCTTGCGCCCTCGCTCGACAGGTCTCCGCAGTCGGGGAGTTCAACGGATAGCTGTGAACCGTCAGAGAAGCGGTTATTTGCTGTCGACTTTTGGTTCATTGCGTGGCTCTTCGCGACCCGCTCAATGACTCTGATCACTTCTGCTCTCTCCTTTTGCCGCCCGATCATCATACTAGGTAGAATAAAGAAGGACGAGATGTCTTTTTCGCCAATCTTCCACTCCTTAAGCGCCAGCCAGTCGCCGTCGGTCAAAAACTGCTGTACCTTGAGAAGGTCATGCTTCAAACCACTGGCCGAGTGATATCGATCCGCAACGGTCTTGGCCGTGCATTTCTGTATGATACGTCCAATGACGTCGGGTATGTCAAGCCGAACTTGCGATACGTTGGGAATTCTCCGGCCTAAAACGCCTTGCACGATGTCTAGGGGCGCCTCGCCGTCAAACACTGGCTGTTGTGTAAGCAATGTCCAGAAAACGACTCCTAGGGAGTAGATGTCGGTCCGACTATCAGGTTCCGCCGGCATACGACCTGTCTGCTCCGGACTAATGTAGAGGAGCTTATTCTTCGCGCCCAACTTTCTCGATAAGCTCGACCACGAGGTGCTCGATAAGCCGCCCTCGAATGATCTTGTGCCCGTACCGTAGTTGATCAGCTTGACTGAATTCGTCTCAATGTTGAAGTGAAAGGCGTCCGGCCTGATCTCTCCATGCGTAATCACCTGTCCATAGTGGAGGATTTCCAGGCATTGACTGGCGCCAATTGCAAAGTCAAGAAAATATTGCAGGTCTATCGGGGGCTTCAAGCGTAAGTTCTGTTTGCGATACGCCTCGTATCGGTCATCAACCTTCCTAGCCTTGTAAAAGGCCGGCCCCATGTCCATTAGATCAAAGAGGTAGTTCTGGCCAGGATGCTGGTAGATTGCAACTACAATGGAACCGCGATCGCCGGGGTGAGGGGCAAGACGGATGAAGTCGAGTGGCTTAACAATATGCAACCCTTGAGGGTCGGCCGTGGCGAATAGGTTCTTAGCTATGTGGAAGGCTCTCTCCTCGCGAAGCACATGGTAGGAGACGCGAGCCACTACTGGCTCTTCTACATAAGATATCTCTGCGGCTCCGGAGGGTATGGCGGGCGGAGAGGTCGCCGAGAAGTCGCTGCTCGCATCGCTGGGCAGGCCTGAGTGAAGGCTTGAGGAGCTCGCATGTTCGGAGGGCGACGGCCGGCCCGACTGTAGTCTCGCGATCGAGCCGGGACTCGAGGCGGGTAAGGATGAAGAGGAAGAGGGCTGGTAAGGAGATACGAATCTGGTGCCACAAACGTGCCTGTCCGCGCAAGTTAGATATCATCATATTATGTGAATAAAGAAAAGATGATAGAAATTGTCGCCGGTGCCCAGCTGGTGACAAGCCATTGGAGGGTGGGAGCGGGACTCACCAGATGTCGTAAGACGTGTGAAAGGGAAGCCGGGACTCGTCCCAGGTATAGCCGGCAATCTGGCGAAGGCGCTCAAAAAGGCGCGATGGAGGGTCGAAATTGTCGTCCGACACGAGGGCAGTGTCGTCCATCATTGAGGCCGATCATAGGCGCAAGCCGGAGCTTGGACGCCGAGAGAAGTTGTCGATGGTGGGGTTGGATGGGTGGGTGGGTGTGTGGGATTTCGGTGCGCGCAGTACTTTGGTATCGGTATCGGCCTTTGTTTCGCAGTCGGCGATGTCGTCGTCGCGAGTGTCAAAATTGACGTAGATGGGATCGTGGTTGTCAGCTAGAGACTGATGTCCATTTCATATCTTCATGGGAAGCTCGAGGCGTAGACTTTACGACGGTGGTTGGTAGACGGAGGATTAAAGTATGGTGGTGTTGATGTGTCGCGCGCGCAATCGGATCAAGTGGGCAAGGCGTGGTTGGTCTTGCGATGGATATGGCGAGAAGCAACAGCAACACAGTCTCAAAATATCCAGGATTTGGGAAGACGAAGATGACTGACTGACTACCTCGTGCATCGGAGAGCGTCGTCAGGCGGCGGACGGGTGAGCGAGTGGGCAGTTATCGGAGGAAGACAAACCGACGTCTGGCGGTGCTGTTTGAACCTCGCACCTTGGACCTCGACCTTTCCTTGGGCGCCGCCTTGCTGACCACTTAGGTTCAAGATGGGGGCACGCCGCACGGAGACGTTGGGCGATGGTGGCATTCGGCGACAGGGCAGCCGTAGGTTGCTTAAGCTGCGGCATTGGACGGCGCGGGCAAGGGCAGGCTAAACTTCTGAAGCAGCAGCACCCTTGGGGGGTGGAGTACGTAATGATTTAAAAGAGGAGCAAAGGGCACCTTCCAAGCGCCAGGGACCAAGCCCACGCCTCCGAGTCTGCGTTCCTCCCTGCCTACCTGACTGGTGTAAGGTAAGGTACGGAGTAAGGCAGGTGCTGAGGTATCCGCAATGGGACATATCTCTCCAACATTTGCACCTTGAAAACTTGAACCAAACCAGACCAACTCCGAGCACTGCAACCTCCCAGCTGTCTCTCGGAACTGTTCCAAGGAAGCAGAGACTGCACTTGGAAGCTCCAGTTGCACCGACGTGGGGATTATAATATCTTGCGGACATGAAAACCACCGCAAGGCACTCGAGTCCATGCGCCTTACTAAGTGAGCGGCCGTGGTGCATCTAATGGGGCAGGCGTCCAGTATCAAAACGCCTCACCAAACTCGCCTCATCAAACTTGCAAACGTTGGTGTCTCTGTTAAACGAAAACGGGCCCACGCCAGTGACATCTCGGCGTCTTTTCCTTGTCTCGACCCTCTTCGTTTCCCAAGCACCTTTCTCCCTTTAGTTTCCTCTAGACTCTACCAGGGAACCCCGTGCTTTTGGGAATAGGACGCCGCAGCGGACAACTCTGTGCTCAAATTCGTAATACAGATGAACAAACCAGATCCCAAGACGAGGAGAAGGAAGACGCACGCCAATCTGACCCCTGGTCACGACAGTGGAGGAGGAACCCAGCTATCCACTTATTTGGGGGCTCTAGGCCCTTGGGAAAAAAGGTGCCCAGCCGTGCCAGCCATCATGATCCGTCCTATCTCCAATGGAAATATTCTCCTCTCCCGTCATTGCAGATGAACGTGGGTGGCGTAGGCAACACCTGTCCGTGACCGTACTGACTGGCATCGCTCAAACATGAAAAAAAAAACAGTGGGAGAAAGGGGTAAACATCCGCCATTGGCAATGATTGGCAGGAACAAAACATTCAAGGCTACGCGTGTTTGGCTGAGCTCGCAAAAACACATGTCGATCATCGGAGCTCTCAGCCGTCCACATTCACACGATAATAAAGCTAGCTGGACTCTCTAGAGTGACACAGAGCACGTTGCTCATGCCTCCATGTCCATGCCCCATCGTTGCTCGAATCAGGCCGACTCTCCAATTCGGGCGAGTGTCATCTTTCGCCTAGAGTCGGGCTATTGCTAAAACTTAGAAGATGACGAAGACGGGGATGGCAAAAAACTCTCGTCTGCTCTTGATCCGTCCGCCTCCTCTCCCATTGCCAGAGCCTTTGTTCCCTCTTTTGTCCGTCACAGTTCCCGCTGCTTCTCCCGTCGTTTCTCCGCGTGCTAGGTCCGCCGCATCATGCCTATGTAGCCACCACCGGCTTTCTCCCCGTCCCCTTGGATCCCAACTACCGGCTTCCCTCTATCGAGCCGTTGACCGCTACTGTTCCGTCTCGAAACCCAGGTCCTTTCTTTCTTTGCTGATCACTGCCCGCCCGAAAATCCGCCGGACTTCCGCGGCAGCTGACACTTCAATTCGAGCCTTGCGTCGAACGCAAAACATTTCATTATTCAAACAGCGACATATCACCCGGCCATCCAGGTGCAGTGTTGCCCTAAGTTCCACCTAATGTGTGGTCGTTTAGGGGCAAAGTTCAATCTGAACCAAACATTCAGCCGTTTCCTCTGACCAGGGTAAAAAAGACGCCGTCTTCTCGTCAGGGAAATAAAATATAAGCCCCCCACCCCGGCCGTGCGCTCCGCCCGCCTTTCTCAACTGACAGAGCCGTCGCGACTCATTTGCAAACCCACTAACCCCTGCTCCCCAAGTTCCTAGTCCCAATCCAAGCTCCCCAAAGAAGTTCTTGAAAGGGGGGAGGTGGAATTCTAGTGTCTACTACGTAGACGGAAGCGTCCATCGCATCTTTTTCAAGATTGTTGCGCGAAACCTGAGTCGTGGCATAAAGTAACCACACTCCCCGCTCTGCTTCACTTCACGGGTTCAGAGTTCAGGGCGACAAGTATAGCTAAAGAAAGAAAGAAAAAAGCAAAACAAAATGATGTCATTGGTGCACAGCCCCTTGCCTGTGCTACCTCACTCGGACCCTGAGATTTTTGCCTCGAGTCGTTTTCGCTGATGCGCGTCGCAAGAGAAAGGACGAAGATGGAGAAGGCTGAAGAAGGAAAATCTGCTCTTGATGCGATGTTTGTTTGCTATGCGGCTATAGATACTCCACCCTCTCTCTCTCTCTCTCTCTCTCGTTTCCGTCTATTGTTATTAACGAGCTCCAGTTCTCTTACCCGCGGGGTCTGGGGATATTACTAAGGGTCTCAGAGACCAAAATTCACACCTTCCAATTCCCTGTACCAGGTGTAATACCGTTCTGGACTATAGGGCCCTGAACCAGTTTCCCGATGGACATGAGCGTGGTATCCCACTGACTATCCAGAGAAATTCAGGATTCAGCGTCACATTGCGACACGCAGGATCTCATGCTTGCTGGTCTTAACGGCGGCCCATTCCGTGGTTTCAATGAGTGGGCCAGGCAGCTACGCAGACTAACTTATCAGAACATGAGAAAACGAGAAAACAAGCAAACAAGGACTTATCAGATGTCAGAGACAGGGGTGCATCACTCAACGGTTCACTGGATCGTGACTTTTCAGACAGGCGCTAGTCGACCGGAAGGCGGACCGTCTCCGTCGGTACTTATCGCGCATCTGTCACGCTACGGCATTATGCACAAGGGTCGCAGCTATGCAGACGCACTTCCGACTTCGAGGCAACGCAGGGAAACATCATGGTAGTATCAAGTCAATCAACAAATGCTTGAATGGTGTGCGATTGTAGAAGCCAAACATCTATACTCTATGTAGATATTCCTTTTCGAGGGCAAGTCAGCCCCCCCACGCCTACAGCTGCGCACGACTTTCAACATCAACATCGTGGGTATGGCGCACCGGATGATTTCCCCCAATTCAACATCGTAAAAACTCCCAGGTATTCTCTTTATGCTTAGCCAAAAGCTCCCTTTTCCCGAGCTTGCCTCCTTCCATTGGTCATGCTCATGCTTCTTTCTATTGCTTTATAGCAACAAGGCTGAAAAATCAATGCAATTCTTTGCCTCCTGTTCTAACGACTTCCGCCACCACATCGCAAGCTTACTTGCTGTGCGAAGGCAGGGCGGTGCCGTTGGCCTGGGAGCCGAAGGCGAATGACGCGGCAAGGCGGCGCTCTTCGTTCTTGCGGCTGTTGACGAAGTCGGGGTAGTTGAGCGTGAGCTCAACGGCGCCGTTGACAATGTTGTCAGCAGCCTCGACACCCAGCATAAAGGAGTGGTCCTGGTTGCCGACCTCGTATCTCCAGGAGCCGAAGCGGCCACGGGAGTAGATGCCCTGGTCGAGGAGCTTGGGCAGGAGGTCCTTGAGGACGCCCTCTCTCTCAAGCGAGGGGGTGGGGTAGCCGTGGTTGAAGCGGCGGTGGTATGTGGAAACAATCTCGTCCTCGGGCTTGATCATCTCGGTGTTGATGAGACCCTGGATGCACTGCTGGAGGAGCTTCTCCTGCTCGACGGGCTTCAGGGAGGACTCGGAGACCTCGAGCATGATGGACCAGTAGGGACCCTCCTTAGCCTCGGTAGACTCAGCCTTCTCGCCGTTGGCCAGGTACAATGTAGGCAGCTTCACGCCGGCCTCGGGCTGGTTGTAGGGGGAGTAGTTGGAGAAGATGGTGGCGCGGTAGAACGGGCAGTTGTCCTCGGGGAAGTACAGCCAGCACTTGTCACCGATGCGGTCGGGGCGCTCGCCACGGATACCGACACCGATGACGTGAGTAGAGGAGTAGAACAAGCCCTTGGACAGGCTGACGAGCTCCTGGTTGCCCATGCGCTCGACGAGCTGGTCGACGTTCATGGTGGAGATGAGCTTGCCGTACTGGACCTTGGTGCCATCCTTGAGGGTGACAATTTTCTTCTCAGCGTCGACCTTCTCGACGGTGCCCGTCTCGCCGTAACGGGTCTTCTCTTTGGGCAGGGTGTTCGCAACGGCGGTCCAGATACCACCGGTACCGTCACGGGCGGGGAACTTGAAGGTGGCGTTGGGGCCCCAGTTACCAGCAACCTTGTTCCTGACGATGTTCTCGGTGACGAGCTTCAGGTTGGGGGCAGCCACGCGCTCACCGAGCCACGCGCATTGCATCTGAAGATTGCTATTAGCAAGCCGATCCAATATCGAGGCGTTCACGTGGAAGGTTGCTTACCTTGGTCGTGGGAACTGCCCAAACCTTGTAGTTGTAAGGGCGCATGAAGAAGTTGGCGACACCCTCACCGCAGTTGCGGATAATCCACTCATCGAAGTCCTTGGGCTTCTTGTCGGCGACACGGCACTCGAGAGCGGCATCAATGAGGCCGTTCATGCACGTGACCTGGTCCTCCTTGGGCAGGATAGAAATATTGTTCTGGAAGGGGTAGGGGACCCAGATGCCCTTGTAGCGGACGTAGGAGACACGCTCGTGCGTGAACCAGTCATCGTCCTTGGGAAGCGCCTCCTCGATGCAGTCGTCGAAGTACTTGTAGTGGGAGAAGATGACGTGGCCACCAACATCGTAGAGCTGTTCAATGGAGTCTGGTTAAGAAATATTCGGCAAAACAATGTCCCTGGCAGGTTTATTGCTGCTGGGAAGGATGGAACAGGAGGCACTTACGAAGCCCTCAGGGGTGGTATCAGTGCCAGCAAGACCTCCAGCCTTCTCGGCGGAGTCAACAAGCAGCCATGAAGGGCCGTTCTGCAGTCGAGGTTAGCATTGAACAATGGGCGGCCGGGGTGGTGGCAATTTGGCGGTGAGGACGCACAATCTGGTTCAGACGCTTCGCAGCACCGAGACCGGTTGGGCCAGCGCCGATAACCAAGACGTCAACGTTGCTAAATGAGGGGAAACCACAGTCAGTCGAAATTCTTCAATGTTTTGGGCATCTGGAATGCCAGGTAGATCCAAGGTCGTGGCTCTGGAATGGGCGCAATGGGGGTTTGCGAAAGACAGAGGCGGGAAGGTGAGAATAACTCACATATCAGCCATGGTGGGGGATGTGCGTAGAAGGCGAGGATAATGCAGCAACAGAAAGAGAGCGGCTCTTGTTGGAGATGATCTGGCAACAAGAAAAGATTGCAAGATCAATGAGCAAGCGATGCACCAGGAAAGAGGAAGGGAGGAGAGGATTGGCAGCAAAGAAAGGAAGGAGGAGGAAGAAAAGTCGTGCGGCAGGTGATAGCCGTGGCCGTTGCTGTAGATATGGGTTTCTGGTTTCGACCGGTTCCAGAAGAGAAAAAGGGGACAGACTAGACTGGTCTGCTCTTGTCCAAGGAACCGTACCTTATTCTGTACCTGCTTCCCTGCTCCTGCTACCTTAGCCGGCGGGATATGGTGGTGGCGGAGGTGGTGGTGGTGGTAGTGGTGCTGCTGCTGCTGCGCTGATACTTCCTCCTTCCCGCACCGCAATTGTGATGGAGGGGCCAAATTATTATTTGGGACAAGGGGTGTAGCGGGGCCCCCTGGTCAAGGACATGAAGCTCACATTTGGTGTCTTTCATGGGTCCATGGTGCCAAGTGCCAACGGTACGTACCGCTACTCCCAGTGCCATTTTCCTAGATGCTCCGTCCACCAAGGCAGGCCGTACCAGACACTCTCTAGACATGCTCCATATTTTGAGATATCGCACATTGACAACAGAAACACACACACACACACACACACCACACCACACGCGTCAGTACTGCCACTTGGATGGTGCTGTGCTGCTACTCTACTTCGTCCATGTCCTTGTTCTCTTTCCTCTCTGCAAGGCACTGCTGTTGCTGCAGATTCTCAGCATCAAGTGGATTCCCAGTGTCAAGGCTTTATGGCGTCGAGGTGGAGGCGTCCCCGTACGGCAGAGTTGTTGCTTGCCTTGCCGAACTGGCGGCGAGCTACTTCATCTGCAGCCACTGCATGCCTCGTCGTCACCAGAGACTAGAGCTCCAAGTAAAGCGAGGTGGCCAAGCGTGTGTCTCGTCTCTATAAACGTTTACTACGCTCCGGCACGTCCTGTTCCGCTACTTGAGACAAGGTCTTATTATGACAGGAAATCTCCTTGCCTCGTGGCAACCGCCGCTATCATCGTTTATCCGCACACTCTACTATGGTACACTCTATTTGTACCTTACAGATGACAAGCCAGCAAAAAAGTCCCTCATCGTGTCGTCGGTCATCAGCCAAGACTAACCACCTTATCCTGCTTCTCCCAAGGGGGGCTGGCTCTGGCCTGCATAGCAAAACTGGAACGGGACGTCGACAGGCGGCGCGGACGGCAGCGAACCGCAACCCTAGGCCGGGCCCTCGTGCTGGCCTCGCCACGCTTGTTTCCTTCCCATGCCCCCTTGCTCAACCCCCAACCTCTGGATTCTGGGCATTTCATGGTGGAAGTGGGAAAAGAAGAAAGACGCGGCGGCCGTATGCTCACCACTACAGGGCGCGGGGGGAGGGGGGGCAGGGAGTGGGCGCGGCGGCCCCACGCACCCACCGACGTACCAGAGCACGCGGGCGCAGCCCGCGCCCCCCCCGACCCGCCCGGGGGCGGGGGCGGGGGGGGGGGGGGGGGGGGGGGGTGGGGGGGGGGTAGACGACGGATGTCAATCCACCACCACACCATCCAAAGACTGACCGTACCGTATTCCAGTCTCCAATGCTCCAGTAGCGGCACTGGGTGAGTCCTGCGACCCACGGCGGGTTACAGAGCTGAGAGTGGGCTGTCTGCAATTGACTTCGCGGACGGTATCATAAGAGACGAGTGGGCTTTCCTTGCTTTCTGCTATGCAAAGGCACTGAGGCATATGGCCGTACGAATACGTAGGGGGTCGAGACCGAGAGTGAGACCAAGACTCGAGAGACAGAGGCTGAATCAGCACTACACCGTGAGTTGAGGCATGAGAGAAGTGAGCGCGAGATGATCCGAGGTCAGGCCCCTGGTGAGGTTCAAAGTGGGATGAAGCAGAGATATGGGCCAGCCGTCATCCACCTGGGTCTGGTCTGGTCTGTCCTGTTCTCTATCCACAGTCCTTTTGTATGTGTGTGTGGTCTGGCAACCGGGAAATTGAGAGCTGTGGAGGCAACTCGCCTTCGCTACCCCAAGGACTCAAGGACACGTTCCCTACTTTTCCATTTTTTTTCTCCCCTCCCCCCGTGGGTGCACATTTACCACTTACGCACGCGCACACAAACCCGTCAACCCGTTCCAATACACTAGTAAGGGGTGGAGGAGGAAGAGGAACAGTTCATGGTCCACCCTCGTTAGGTCCGCAACCCCTCCATCATGGACACAGGTACGGGATGCTAGGTTTGCCAGTATGGTAGGGAAGCGTGGCGAGCCGGCAAGAGTCTCGCAGAGTCGCAACAAAGTACAAACACGGCGGGCAGGCAATGGCATGACGGGAAGACTTATTGCCCTACAAATTTTGACACCTCAGAGATTGACTTTGCAAACATGCAGATCGTCCGTAATGTAATCATTAATCAACGACAGACGGGCACAGGGAAGAGCCCGCAAGGTTCGCAACCCAATCTCGAATCTATGTCGAGCGTAGAAGGATCGTCGCGAAACTAGGAAACACAGGCTGCACGGTCGCTCGTTATTCTGATTGATGAAAATCTCTAATCTAATTTGGCCTCGATTGCACCGTTCGCGCGCCGCGGCTCGGTGCACCCATCAGTGACCACCCACACACAACGACGGTGACAGACCGCCAAGGCGATGTTAACCTTGTCTGGCCTGTCTGTGTTGCTGACCGCCTCCCGTCGGGGATACAGTGCCTTGGTCCGCCACTGCTGCTCGTTCAGCTGCCGGCAAACCAGAAGAGGGGGAAGGGCCTCGACAGCAACCGTCTCTCTCTCGTTCACTGCAGGGTCCCTGGTCTTGCCGCCAAAGCAAGGCTCCCGAATGGTCAATTGCCCATCAGTTTGTCGGACGCCGTTGGTGCTGCTTTACTGCCCGCCGCCGCTCCTTACCCTGTCCCGGACTCCCGGCAACGCAGATCCTATGCTGGCTCCTGAAGCTCACGATCTTCTTCAGGCTAACTCGTTGTTGCTCTGAATACCTACCTAGTCCTCGACAACTCGGTCGTTCCCAAAAAGCGTTTGGCTGTGCCGTGCTGTTTCCGTCCCATACCGTCCGGGCAGTGAGCGGCGCTTTTGTGAACTGTCAGTTCCCGGATGCTGGCATGCCAATCAACCTCTCCGCCATTGAGAAGTGGGTTCGACCTTTGATGTGGCTTGCGCTAATAATTGTTGATAATTCGGAGTCAAACCCACACTCAATCTGCATTCACACGCTGTTTTTGCCTCCATTTCCCAGTTGGGCAGCTGCCGTCCCGTCATTTCGCTCAGACTTTCAGACTCCGGGGCTTCAAGCCTTCGCCTGTCATTGTTTACTTGTGCGTCTGTGTGCCTGCCGCTGCCGCTGCCGCTCCCGCCACATTATCGTCCTTCCGTGGGGTTTGACCAACCAAGTTGATATGGTTGCCCGGGGAAGGATTCTACTCATCTTGGCTATCCTTCGAACATTAGCCAGATGGTAGACCACGTTTCTGCGTGGTTTGATTCGCGTGCTATAGAGCCTCCATGGTGACATGAATTACGGGCGGACTAAGGTAAGGTAGTCTGGACCTATTGCAGCCTGCCATCTCAGAGATGAAAGAGCCCTAAGCCGAGTTGCGATGTCCTCGATAACGGAACCCTGCTCAGTGTAATCTCATAAGATGAGCGCAATCCCACCTCCGTGGGCACGCTGCAGCTGGTCAAGAACCCGTCATGCAAAACAAACTTGCCTCAATTTGTTGTCCCGCACGGCAGCAATGACACCATGGCCTGTAGGCTATTGTGAACCGTTTCGGCCTGGCGCCAACTCGGCCGTTCTCCATGAGTCGGGTACGTGTCCAGGGCCAAGTCTGAGTCGCAGATAAATGCCTATTCGTACCTTTACTCCATACGAATAGGTACAAAGAGCCGAAACGTGATATCCGTCGACGTTTTGGACTACATTCATGCCGGCGCGCCTCAAGCTACTGCTGCGTCTACACCAGCCAGACAGGCCGAGAAGGGACGCCAGCAGTGTTGTGATTCAGTGTCCCGTCGCCTCTACCCGCACTTTACCCTAGCGGTATGGGGCTCTCCAATCGCCTGCTTGCACAAGCCCATGTTCCATCTGCTCATTTTCATCAACTTCGTGCGTCGCCAATCAAGATGCGGGCAGGGATATCGTTGTTTCCCGGGCTGGTGCGAGGTGGTCTGCATCTCGCCTTTCGGCCAGCGATCGTCGTCTCGAGAGATTTGGAGTCGGTCTTTCTTATTTCTCCTCGCCTACTGATGCCCATGCTCCCCCCACGGAGCCACCGAGCTTGTTGTGCTTTTATGTCCGCATGCTATCCGCACACTAAGGAAATAAGATGAGCCAGGGCAAAAGCGGTGCAAGGGACTGGGAGACAGCACTCGGGCCAAGTGCCACCGTTTGAACTCTGAAAATCTGGCAATCTGGGAAATCTTCCCGTGCCCTCTCTTCACTCCTGGTCCGTTGTCGTCACCGCTGGGTCTGCGTTGGACTGTTGATGGAGCTGCTCGACTTAATTTCGATCCGTCGGTAGTTGTTACAAACAGACGCCGTTCTGGGTCCCTGGCAAGCTTTTGTCGTTGGCGACTGACGTTTCCATCCCAATGCGGGACTGCCCCTGCCTCTCATCTGCGGAGCAGCAAAGGAGGCTGTGAAAGTCGATGACCAATTACTGGTCGTCGGTCTGGTCAGTTGGCAAGTGGTCCTTTTGATAGCATCTCCATGTGCATGCATTCAAGCACGCGTGTCGCCCCCTCCACCACCTCCAGACTCTAGTATCGAAAGACGGCATCTCCCCCGAACAAGACATTTGCTGGAGTGCCTGCCCGGCAGCCGGCACAGGGGTACAGGACCCATCTCATCAACAGTCTGAAACAGACAAACTGGGCCTCTTGTAGATCAGCCTGGTCAGTTTCGGGGCGCTGCATGAACCTCGACGTG